GGTACATACAATTAGGTTAATGGAGGTGCACTGCACACCCCTCACACTGCACTCCTTAGATGTAAGCCCCGAGTCCCCTCCTCCTGAACTTGCTTTTCTTCTCACGTGGGCCTGTAGTTGTTCACCTACCAGTTTCAAATTAGTATTGAGTACACGGATGCTTGTTTTCACTTTTTTGCCGAAGAGAATGTTCTTAGAAATTTTTTGTACTTCCCTTTGAGAACTATGTAATTCAGGCTATGCATAATTACAACTGGTTAACTCAAAGTCCTTTGTTAACTATGTAGGGTACCTCCCCCAGGGTCACCGTGGGCCAAGAGCTCCAGTGAAAATCCCTAGTGTAAACTAGGCAACTCATTTAACATCAGGGTCCTGAAGTAGATGGTGACTAAAAGTTTAATTTTCAGTGTATTCCAAATACACGTGGTTCACGCTTACTATGCTCAACTAACAACCTGGCAGATTCTTTAGAACCATGGACGATGAATGGGTTTGACACTGCAAGTTGGTTCTGCCCTAACAATGTCTTCCCCCACCCCCTCTTGCCTAGCTGTGCGCCAACTTGTTACTTCTGGGTAAAATTTGGACACTTCCATGCCAAAGTTAGGAAGATAATAACCCAAGTGCTTACCCATAGTAAACACAGAAAAAAATAAAAAGTGTTCCCTGGTGGGCAATTAGACTCATTTGCCACACCCAGGTCACTAAATGGAAATCATTAGCTACAACCAACCACTGAGTTGAACTGTGATGGTGATACATGGCATACTATGCTCTATTCTCAGGAAAACACCTGTTGACTCCCACAGCAGCCAATGCTCGCACTCTCAACATTAGTATCTCTGCCCCACAGTACTACTGCCACTTAGAAATTTCTCCCTTAAAAAAAAATTATTCTGAAATCTTTTCAATACCTTCGAAAATATCTCCTTTCCAGTCTCATTGTTATTTCCCTACCAATTTGGGAACCATCTACTACTCAACAAACAGCTATGACTGCATCCTCATCCTCTTGAGGTTACTTTCTAGTAGGGAGGAAAGCATCTAAGAAATACACGATAGGCTTGCACTTGTAGCAGTGGTTACAGTGCCAGCCACATAGACGGAGGCTGGCCGGTTTGAACCCAGCCCAGGCCAGCTAAACAAGGACAACTGCAACAAAAAATAGCCAGGCATTGTAGCAGGTGCCTATAGTCCCACTTACTCAGGAGGCTGAGGCAAGAGAATTAGTTAACACCAAGAATATGAGGTTGCTGCAAGCTGTGACGCCACGGCTCTCTACCAAGGGTGACATAGTAACACTATCTCAAAAAAAAAAAAAAAAAAAGAAGAA